AATCAATGATTCCCTCTTTGATGTTTCTCTCTCTCCCTCTCCCTTCCTCTCTGAAATCAATTTAAAAAATTTTTAATAAACCACCTAAAATTCATTGCAGGCAAACGCTACAATATACTAACAGCATTAAAATGAGGATATGTATCACATCCACATCATAGGGTCCAGAGAGGCCAGGTGCAAGCTCCAAGTGCTCCCTCTCTAAGGGCCACACCAGGATACACTTTCTCTCTTGGATCAAGAACCACCACTTATGATTTCACTTTGGACACAAATGTCTTAGACAGGGTTCCCGATAGCCTTCTGGTAACCTGGGCTTATTCTTCTCTACATAGCCAGTCCCAAACACAGTGGCCTCCATGGGTCTCGCTGAGACTAGGTAAAAATGGCCAGTGTTACTGCTAGCAATAAACAGTAGTGATGACCTGTAACCCATGGCTACACATCAACACAAAAAGTCACTTTTGCATTATGTAGCTCTTTGACCAAGGCATCTCAGGCATCTCAGGCTCACTCCAGAGTGTAATTAACTCTCACAGCACAGATAACTACATCAAGGTACATTGACTTTTCCATTTGCTTGGAAAGTCCTTCAGCCTGAAGTGTAAGCTGCCTATAGAATGAGTTGGTGTGACAGCCTCCTCTAGGCAAAAAAATTCAGCAAAACATAGCAGTTATCCTATCATAACCCACCTCCTTTTCTGTCTATACCAATTAGGTTACAGGATTATTTTATATTAACATAGAGTATTCAGGTTTACCTGTGGGATGAGCTTGGAGTTGTGTTGGCACCATGGGACTTATTCTAACCAACTTTTTGGTGCTTCTTTTTTCTATCACTAGTAGGGAATGAAGACTGGTTTTCTTTTTCAGTAAAGTCTCTGAGGACACCGTCTGCGACACCCTTTCTGCTTTTCAGTATGTACCTCCATGAGGAATCTGGAAACCTGGGTGTCAGCAAGTCTTTTTATCTCTAGTCTCCATTTTCTCTACTACAAAATGATTCTAAATGGGCCTTCTAGATCTAAAAGCCGATGATTCTGTAAAAGACCAAAAAAATTGCCTGGCTGGCATGGCTCAGTTGAACATCGACCTATGAACCAGGAGGTCACAGTTCAATTCCCAGTCAGGGCACATGCCTGGGTTGTGGGCTCAGTGCCCAGTAGATGGTGTACAGGAGGCAGTCGATCAGTGATTCTTATCATTGATGTTTCTCTCTCTCTCTCCCTCTCCCTTCCACTTTGAAATCAGTAAAAATATATTTAAAAAAGAGAGGGTATATTAGGACATACTTAGGTTTTAATGTAGCTTTAAAATATATTCCCTAGTGAATACACTAAAGGATATATATTCTCCCCCCCCACCGCCCAAGTGGGAATTCCTAGGTTGAGGTAAAAAGATAGTTTCACAAAGTTATGTCTGTTGGTTGCTTGTTGAGGCTTCATTATGTTTAATGTTTCATCAAAAAATCTGAATATATTCTATAACATGTTCGTTTTGGACACTTAAGTGTATATCTGTGTAGCAATTAAATCATCCCTATTGATTTTTTCACCTCTTTTAACCCCATAGTTCCAGCTATGCATACCTAAATAGATGTCTTTTAAAAATTGTCCCTTGAAAGTGGAATTCTGTTTGATATGTTTGTTTTGGGAAGTGTGTTTTCCAATGTTCTGTGATGGATCATACTTGTGTTTAAGCACATCTGGTTTTAGCGGAGCACACTACACAGTATTTCTTTCCTAACTATGTCATCTTCTGCTCCTGTTATTTGCTCCTGTTATTTTGGAGCAATTTCTTTGCTCCACTCCAGAGCTATTTATACTCCAAATTTTCTATTCTGCGTGTTACCCATTCACCTGTACAGAGATAAGAGTAGACCCGATAAAAAAGAAATTCATGCAATTTTGCTGTCAGTGTGTATGTTTCCATCACAATGGTAAATTAGACTCAATACAAAAGTGAGTCTAAAAATTCTCACTTGTTGGTTCTTATGTCCTTAGGTATAAAGCAAAATATTTATTACGATTAAGGCAGAGTAACAAAAGAAAATAATAAACTTCAAACCTCCCATAGCTTCCTTCAATGTATAAAGAAACATCTTAGGAATGTTGGTGTTTAGAAGAAATCTATTCCTCTCTTCCACTAATGGAAATGGTGGGCTGAATTTCTAAGTGCTCTCACTACCTGCCCCTGAAACTGTGCCCATAGAAGAGAAAATGAAAATTTGAGTTATTTTTTCTCTACACCTCTCTCCAGTCTCCCATGCAGTCCCCACTCAGCCTTGGCATCCTTGTGTCCTCCTTCGTGCTTGCATTGTTATTTTTAAAATTCTTTATTCTTTTTTCTACCTGCCTTCCTCTCAAATTCAGTTATGTTCCTTTCTGCCACTTTAAGCAAAGTCTCAGCTTCCGTGTAAAGAGGTCATTATCTTGAAAGTATTTTTAAGCAAAAGGAGGGGGACCTGTAGAGTAGCAAAACTCTCCACCCCAAAATGTGTCTCTTTGTCACATGGAATACTTTGTGTTGAAAACACAGACTCAGGAAGAACCTTTGACCTTGCCCCTAACTGCATAAAAGAATTTAGATAGATTTGCTCCAGGCAGGGAGCTATTAGTTTAATATGAAGTAGGTGTGATAGGGAGGAACCTTAGCAAGGCCCATTCGATCAAAGTCCTCTCTGTGTCCCATAGTTTCTGTATGGGCCAGCAAACATGTTCTTACTAAACATTAACTCTTTTTATCTTCCTGTGAATTGCCTCACTTCCCCTTGAAGTTCCAAACCTCTACCTCCTTCTCGTTAGTCCAGACTCCAGAATGACAATTATACCTCATTTTGCCTTACTATCTTTGGAATTTTCATGTTTATGTCGATTCCCCATTTACACAAAATTAAATATCTCTTTTTCCTCCTGTTAATCTGTTTCATATGAATTTAACTCTTAGACTAGCTGGAAGAACTTAGAAGGGTACAGTAGAAAAAATTTTCTCCTCCCCAGAGGCCTTTGCCTTGATAGGATAAGTGCTCATCCAGGGCCTTTTAGGGAAATTGGTACAAGGAATCACAGAGCTTTGCTCCCCGGGATGAAAAACAAAGAAAAAAAAATCTACCTACTCCCACCACCAGATCATGTTTCTAGAGAAACTTCAAAAGTTACTATTTTCCTTTTTTTAAAGTGAAAACTTATGTACTACATAGGTATTAACCTACATAGGATATTAACCACTATTTTTGTTTTTCCTTAACATTTACTTAGAACCAGTCACAAATAGCTGGTGAAATACAGTAAAACCTTAAATTTACATCTGCTTAGTTTTGGGCAAGCTGTTTACAGACTGGGTTGGCCGGTGTTTAGCTGCAGTAACATTTATAATTGTATTGCTTCCATCCCCCCCTCCCCGTGAGATGCGTGAGAAATTTACTTAATTACCATTGATTCTTTCTCTCAAAGGACTGAGAATTCAGACCAGAGCTTAGGTGTATAAGGTGTTATAAAAGCATGTTGTTGCATTTCCAATTTGCCTAATAAACCTGCTTTAGAAAAAAAAAAGCATCTTTTTGTGCACTTGGGAATAAAGCATGCAATATGCTGATGTTGGACAAGGTTGAGATTTCACTTCCGTTAAATTTTTGTCTTCCAGCATATGAATAAATACCACCTCACATCAAGGGAACCCCCCCCCGTCCCTCTTCCCCGCCCTGCCACTCAAAGTTCTTAGAGGATTTGAAAAGTACAATGTAAAATACAATCTGAAGGTGAAAGAAGAAATCTCTTGGATGGATTGTGCAGTTACTTTAGTTTGCCCATGGAAAATTTTAGTGGTTATTTTTTTTTCACCTAATATTAAGGTAGCAGAAAGATTGTGAGGTGACTAATATTTTAAGGATAAAAATGCTTAATAATTATAAATGCATAACTGGAAATAGAGTTTACACAACCCTAACCATACAGATTAATCAAACTGACCTTCTCTAATACTAATACAAGAAACTATGGTCTGGAATTCTTTCAAAATCTCTAGTAAAATAGTTTTTTTTCCTTATTCATTTGAAAATGACTTGGTTTATGTAGAACTCGATAGGCCCCCTTAACTCTCAAATATTCCCCAATACTTTAACCCCTTCCCCAACAATTTTTTTGTTAAAAACGTTTCTTTTTCAGACTAATTTTTTTATTTTGGTTCTATATAGTATTTTTGATGCTGGTTATGAAAACAGTTTGTAACTCGTCTTCCTATAAACCATATTTTTTTTACCATATTTTCTTAGTATACTCGTCGACGACTGAAAAAGAACATTTTGTGAAAACATGTATACACGTTTCTGCCGGGGAAGGGGTTAAAAATGGGAACTGTCTCTTTGCTCACATCTTCATCTAGTCAATGCCAGTGACATGTGAGAACAACCTCAGATCCTGAATGCTCATCAAAGTCGGAAACTTAGAGCTGAAGGATGAAAACAAAACACTTTAAAAGAGGGTAGAGTTTGCCCGGCCAGCGTGGCTCAGTGGTTGTGTCAGCCTATGAACCAGGAGGTTATGGTTCGATTCCTGGTCAGGGCACATGCCCAGATTGCAAGCTTGACATGCAGGAGGCAGCTGATCAGTGATTCTCTCTCATCATTGATCTTTCTATCTTTTTCTCCCTCTCTCTTCCTCTTTGAAATTAATAAAAAATATATTTAAAAATAATAAAAGAGGGTAGGGTTTGAAGTATGTATGGGACCAGGTGGATACTTGAAATATCAGGGAACCACTTTGTAGAGTATATGATTGTCTAACCACTAAGTCTGTATACTTGAAACTAATACAACATGATATTGAATGCCAACCGTAATTGAAAAATAACAAATAAATACATAAAAGAGTGTAGAGTTCTGATTAGGTGTTCACTAAAGGGTACGAGACATCTCTACCAGATTCTCCAAGGAAAAGAAAAAATAGTGAAAGGAGGATTGTCCCGCCCCTTGAATCGCTTGTGATTTTCTGTGGCTTTTGCAGTGGATCTCTTGAGCCTGTCAGCCGCATGTGATGCCTTGGATCTGCACAACATCAAGCAAAATGACCAGCCTATGGACATTCTGCAGATCATTAATTGTTTGACCACTATTTATGACCTCTTGGAGCAAGAGCACAACAATCTAGTCAATGTCCCTCTCTGCGTGGATATGTGTCTCAATTGGCTGCTAAATGTTTATGACACGTACGTACGGCAAGCTTGTCTTTCAGACTCTGTCACAGGAGGCTTAGTGGGCAGAATGGTGCCGACTTAATTAGCAGCACAACAGGGCCCCGGTCTAGAAATACGGTCCTCAGGTTGAAAGTTTCATGAAGCTGTGTGACCTAATGCTGTCCCTGTGAGAAATCATTTTTGCATTTATTGGAACCGAAACTATTTTGTCTTGACAAGCTAGGAGGTAAGAGCTAGGACATTGATTGTTCTCAGATTAGAAAACAAACAAAACCCTGAGATACAAATTTTTTTAAATGACTCCACATGTAGCCATTGGTCCTTTCCCTTTGTTGCCTGTGTGTTTTGAGACACCCCCCGATCTACTTTGGGGGTGGCTTCCTCTCATTGGCAGATGTGTTCCTGGAGATGCTGCCGAACCTGTCACCAGATCCAAATACTCAGATTTTTGCAAGAGATGAAATGATAAGCCAAAGAAAATGAAAAATAAGCCCTTAATTCAGCAAACTCAGCTCCTCAAACGAAGGAAGTTTTGAATTAAAAAAGAGAGAGAGAGAGAAATGTTTCAATAGGACCTTCATTCGTCACTCCTTAGATAGCACTCATTTATTTCTTTGGGATTGCACACAGGAGAGATCCCCAGTTGGAATTTTTGTCTTGAGCTTAATGAAGACAGTTGAGGAAGGTAGCAGAAGGACTTGGTCTTAATTTTGACTGAAGTCTTAGACATCAGAATTATTACATGCCTCATTTCACATGTCAGAAAGAACATCTCCCCATTTGGAAATCTGGGAGGGTTTTTGAAAAGGACTTGCAAATCAACTATTTTGCCTTTTGCCTTTGTGGTGGATTTCCAACACCTCCTGGATTAAAATGTATACGCTTTTTTCTTTGTTATTTTTTATAAGGTATTACTTTTTAAATTCTAAGATCACCTGGCTATTGAAATCTGATCGGTATCTACCATGCCTGTAATTGTGGATTATCCTTACATTTGCTTTGATAAGGGTTTGTATTCAGGTCTTCTCTCAGATATATTTTAGTACCGTTTTCTCTGGAGATGACATGTGAATGGATTCTGAATATATAACTTTATTTCTACCTGCCTGAAAATTTTTTGAGTACAGTTTATTTCCTTGAAGACCTGAGCTACTGTACTAAGTTTATTTGTTAAACTTTGATTTGCCTTTTCTAAAGAGTAGAAAATGATAAAATCGTCCAACAATAGTAATGTTGTTAATGCATTAGAATCCAGGATTTCTGTTTGACTAAGAGGTTTAGTAAATTGTATCAGTTGAAAGTTGAGCATATTGTTCACCAAAAATCACCCACAACTGGGACCTATCCTTTGTAATTTCAAAGTGCTAAATTAAGAATTAGTCTACTTTTTGAAAACCAATATCTAATGTTCAGTTGTTTTCCATAATAAAAGCTGAAAATTATTGACATTTTTCACAAAATGAAAAACTTTTTATTATTTAAAATTTTTCCCATGGATTTAATGAACTTAATAAATGTATCACGTGGAATGCTTTATTTCAGTTTTATATGCAAATGCAATATATATATATATATATGTATATGTGTGTATATGTGTGTGTGTGTGTGTATATATATATATATATATAAGCATAGGTTATTTTTTTAGATTCTTTTTTTAAAATTTTTTTTATTGCTTAAAGTATTACAAAGAGTATTACATATGTCTCCTTTTTTTCCCCCACCCTTGACAATCCCCTGGCCTCCCCTACCCCCCAGTGTCTTATGTCCATTGGTTAAGCATAGGTTATTTTAAAATTGCTCTTTAAGATCATATATTTGAAGCTAATAGCATATCATATTTTTCTTGTGGAGATAAACGTTCATATTTCATATTGTTTCATATGGCCTGAAGTGGTTAATTTTCTTCTGAATACAGACAGTGTAATGAAAGTCTGAAAGAGTTTTGAAGAGAGCAGAGTAGCGAGTGCTGGTAATTTTTCTTGGGCTTCAATAACCAAAGTAGCTTAGTGCATAATAGTAATTCATCCACTTACCAACTTAAACCCAGGTGTCTCTCCATGGATGACTAGAAGGATATTTTTCCTATTTTATGTAGAGCCACTCTTACAATTCAAGTAAAGGCTTTTAAGAATTGAATACTTGGTATATATTCATTGTTCGAGTTGTTCAAATTTCCATCGCATTTTAAGTCATCTCCAAATAGATAACGAACTCAGAAAAATCCTTAATCTTAATAAAACAGTGATCAATTGAGTTCCCCTATCCAATGAATTTTTTTTCTTAGCTGAAAAGTGTTTACCATCTAGTAAAAAATCAATAATTGTTTTCTGATTTGATTATTTATAATAGGGGACGAACAGGGAGGATCCGGGTCCTGTCTTTTAAAACAGGCATCATTTCTCTGTGTAAAGCACACTTGGAAGACAAGTACAGATGTAAGTCATGCATATTAACTCTGTATTCTTTTAGTAATATTGGCTTATTGCCTCAGTTCTAGATGGGGAATGACATATGTTCTTATTTGACAGCAAGTTCCTTGTGTAAGATGGAAAACTGCTTTTAGAATGTCATAAAAGGTGGTTTGTGCTCTTCCCTGTCAAACATTAGCTTGCAGGTATTTAAATAGAGAATGAGGATTATCTTCTCCAGTCCAATTATTATTTTGCATTACGTTGACTGTGTCTGAATAAAACACATGTTCCTAGGGGATAAAACCTGATTTCCTAACCCCTTTGTATAATCTGGAAAATAAATGTGAAAGGTTAATCCATGCTCTTGCCTAGTATTTGGATTCTTATTTAAAGACTACTGCCTGGCATTCATGTTTAAGAAGCATTGTTTATTTTATAATCATCTTACTGCAAGGTATACTGACATAGCCAATTCTGTGATGTGACTTAATGTTTTATTATTGGAGAGACAGATAGCTTGCCACTTTTCATAGGGTAAATATCACCTTATAGAATGTCCTACTGATTAGCCATTGGGTTTTTCTGCTAAAAATCTGTCAATCCAAATTAAAAGCAAACACTAGAGGAGTGATGGTTGAGATGACTAAGCAACCATTTATTCCCATTATGAAGGACCATATGTGTTTTCCCCTTTAAATGCTTGTAAGAAATGTTTTCAGTAGGAATATTAAAGAAACCTCATCTATTTTGTCTTTTCTCTTTTCCCCTAAGGCCTAGCCTCTCAGGGATGAGGAGATGTGCTTAGTTTAAGGACAGGCAGGAGATAAAAGAGATTAAATTCCTCCAAAGCCACTCTGTGTCCTACTGCTCATTTCCCCCCTAGGAGTAAGCCAAAAAATACACAGGCCTTTCAAGCTCTCACTTTTATGTAGTTTCCACTTAAGTTTTCTCATCCTTTTAGGAGAAAATAACTGAACAGATTTTGTTAACCACTTAAGAACATATTTTGGATAAAATAGAATCTTTCTGTGTTTATTCCTCTTTTAAGTATTATAGTTACTTATTATAGGTTAGCTAATAATCTAATCGTGTCAACACTATTGTTGTAACAGCACATTGTAATACTAAATGGAATCATCAAGGGAGCTTCAAGTTTGTGTTTCAAATAACTATTATGCAGGAATGTGTTTTGAGGTTGGTGAAAACGAAATATTAACTTCAAATTGGGATATTTGAAAATAATTCATAATTTTGAAAAAAATCTGTGTATTGGATAGATGATGAAAAGTGGTTGTGTGCTGTCTCATTTTGGTTATTGCCATCTTAGATGTTTCCCTAACATATTTAATTTCTTAGAGTTTAAAGTGTACTTTTGAGCCCTAGCCAGTTTGTCTTAGTGGTTTGAGTGTTGGCCCTTGGACTGAAGGATCTAGTGTTCAATTCCTGTTCAAGGGCACATACCTTGGTTGCAGGCTCCAGGGCACATATGGAAGGCAACCAATCAATTTGTCGCTCTTCTCTCTCTCTCTCTCTCGCTCTCTCTCTCTCTCTCTCTCCCTCTCTCCCCCGCCCTACCTCCCTCCCTCCCCCACTCCCTTCTCCCTCCCCTACACTCTCTCTTAAAAAAGTCAATGTAAAAATATTTTTAGATGAGGATTAAAAACAAAAAGTATGCTTATGAGTAGGAAAAACTTTCTTAGATGTAATTTTTTGGGCAACTTTTATTTGAATACAATGTGTGATTAAGATGATTTTATTTCTGAGAATAAAACATATTGCAAGTGTTTGGTATGTTCATTCAGTCCATGAACCCACTATATTGGACACCTGCTTTCTGCAGGTACAACTGTTCTACTGTAGATATTTCTGGCACACAGTTGACCAAGATAAGGTCCCTGCTCTCAAGGAGATACCACCCTTCATCCAAAAAGACAGCCACCTATTGAATCACTGTAAAGTGATGAGAGCTAATTACAAATATGTACAACATACTGTTGGAACACATACAAGAAACTCAGTGATCTGATGGCTTCATAAAGAAGTCCCAATTTTGGTACATTTTTGAATCTCTGATGTCCAAAGGGGATGGTGCTTATGGTTCTTAATGCTACAACATTTATTTTATTATAGTAGTTATGTCCTATACATAACATAATTTCCCAAAGGATTGTCTTCTGACTTACGAAAAATTCAGGTGTCAGGATTGTATGTAAACTCATTTCTTGAAGGCTGTAGTTCATCCATAAAAATATTAAATGTCTAGATTAATATATGGTAGAAGTAACTGCCCTATGGGAATATTGGCTACTCTTGAGAATTGGTACTGGAAGTGAGTTGGCCATTGGGTTCTGTTAGCACTTACTTGGTGCTGCTTTTTCATTGTTGCGATTCTCTTCTTCCTTTTGTAGACCTTTTCAAGCAAGTGGCAAGTTCAACAGGATTTTGTGACCAGCGCAGGCTGGGCCTCCTTCTGCATGATTCCATCCAAATCCCAAGACAGTTGGGTGAAGTTGCATCCTTTGGGGGCAGTAACATTGAGCCGAGTGTCAGAAGCTGCTTCCAATTTGTAAGTTATTTCACCTTCTTAAGTAACATATTTAATGTTTTATATTTTAGAATAGAGGCCTGGTGCATGAAATTTGTGCACGGGGGTGAGGGGTGTCCCTGTTCCTCAGCCCGGCCTATACCCTTTCCAATCTGGGACCCCTTGGGGGATGTTCAACTGCCAGTTTAGGCCCTTCCCTGCCAACCTGGTCGCACCCAACTTCCCTCCCCTGCTGGCCTGGTCGCCCCACGCCGCCTGCAGTTCAGTCGTTTGGTCATCCTTTACTAACCCCCCTGCTGGCCTGGTTGCCCCATGCAGCCTGCTGTTCAGTCATTTGGTCGTCCCTCACTAACCCACCTGCTGGCCTTGTCACCCAAAGCAGCCTGCTATTTGGTCATTACTGTTACTGTGACAGTGTCCTGGACAATTTGCATATTTCTCTATTATTAGTATAGATATTTTTAAAACACAGAACTTTCATTGCTTATATGACTCTTCTGTAGGCAGATAGATAGGGGATTTTTGATACTGGAAACCTTTTTAAATTGTCTGCAGAGGTTTCTAGAACTCCAGGTCTCAGGGAGAGAGGACAGTGCAGAAGAAGGAAAAGAAATCTCCATCTGGCCCTAGCTGGTTTGGCTCAGTAGGTAGAGCATCAGCCTGCATGTGTACCAAAGGGTCCTGGGTTCGATTCTGGTCAAGGGCACATACCTTGGTTGCAGGCTCCTCCCTGGCCGGAGCCCTGGTCGGGGCTTGTGCAGGAGGCAACCAATCAATGGGTTTCTCTCACATCAATGTTTCTATTATTTTATGTTAACGATGACTCATTTATTTCAGCCCTTTGTATTCAGCATGTCTCTATTGAAATAAACCTACAACTCTATGAAAACTGAAGCTTTTGTTTTTTTGTGGCCCATGTAAATTTAAACCTTGTTTATTTGGCCCGTGTTAGCCTTTGAGTTTGACGTGCTTGCTGTAGGAACTTAACTCTTGTTTGTATCAATTACTGTCTGCTAATACCCATCAGTAGCTCAACACAGTCTTGTCCATTCTCTTTCTTGTCCTGCCCCATTGTTTTTTCCACACCATAATCAGTGCCCCCAGAAACACTCTCTTCCTCCAAATGCCTGAACACTCCATGGATAGACATTTAGGTTGTTCCTATTTATTTTATAAGGTGGGTAATGCTGCAATGAACATCTTTTTGCAGTTAGCTTTTTTTTTTTTTTTTGACTGAAGTTTTTTTCCTTAGGATAAATTCTAAAAAGTGAGATTACCAGACTAAATGACATAAACAGTTTTATGGCTTTTTTTTTTTGTTTTGTGGCTGAAGGTTACTTTATTTTTTTTAAACTAAATCTTTATTGTTCAGATTATTACAGTTGTTCCTCTCCCGCCCCCATAGCTTCCCTCCATTCGGTTCCCACCCCACCCTCTGCCCTTAACCCCCCACAGTGTCCTCATCCATAGGTGTATGATTTTTGTCCAGTCTCTTTCCGCACGCCCACACCCGCTTCCCCCCAAGAATAGTCAGTCCTCTCCCTTTCTATGCCCCTGATTCTATTATATTCATCAGTTTATTCTGTTCATCAGATTTTTTATTCACTTGATTTTTAGATTCACTTGTTGATAGATGTGTATTTGTTGTTCATAAATTTTATTTTTATCTTTTTCTTCTTCTTCCTCTTCTTAAAAGATACCTTTCAGCATTTCATATAATTCTGGTTTAGTGGTGATGAACTCCTTTAGCTTTTCCTTGTCTGTGAAGCTCTTTATCTGACCTTCAATTCTGAATGATAGCTTTGCTGGATAAAGTAATCTTGGTTGTAGGTTCTTGGTATTCATCACTTTGAATATTTCTTGCCATTCCCTTCTGGCCTGCAAAGTTTCTGTTGAGAAATCAGCTGACAGTCGTATGGGGA